CCTCCAAGGCTTTGCTCCCCATCTCCCTGGTCTGACCAGCAGACCAGGGAGACGGGGAGCAGCTTTTCTTGCTCCGGAGGACGCAGGCGGCAGGACCGCGGCTCATCTGGAAGGGTATGAGGCATTGCCAATCAGATTTAACATAGATTTGGGACAGTACATTTTCCATGTTTTATGAGAGAATAGAGATTTTAAAGGGCCATGATTGGGCACAACTGAGAGAGGCACAAGAAGTCCTCCAGTAGGGCTGGAGAGGAATGGAGAGGAAGGCAGGTGGTAGCTGACAGCACATCTACCAGGTAGAGGCAGTAAGAGAGAATGGACAAAAGTATTTTCTGGGAAGTAATCTCATTATGCACAAGGTTTTTAGAGCATTTTGAAAATTAAAGGAAGCTCATAAAGGGAGATAATATGGAATCCCAAATAATCCTGAATTGTTTGTATGAAAAAAAAACACATTTCCTTTATTAATTTGTTTTTTTGTTCCTAAAAGTAGAATTTTCTGCAGCTGGGGAAAAAATTTCTAACCAGTTTTCTCCAGAATACCTGAAGCTGACAGGTGCTGACAGAGGGTGTGGTGGCTAGCTTCTCATTTAGTTTGCTTAGCAAAGGGAGCTTAGACATGATGGATACATCTACACTGCAACACTATTTCTAAATAACTAGAGTTATTCCAAAATAATTTAGTTTGCGTCTATACAGCCCGGCGTCAGGCTCCTCATGGCGTTTCAAAGGTGAAAGCACTGCATGGACTCTCCCACAGACCCCAGTCTCTGTGCAACTCTGCTGCTTTGAAACGCTGCAAGGAGCCTGATGCCAGGCTTCCCATGGTGTTTCAAAGCGGCAGCACACATGGAGCCTGAGGTCATCAGGGGAGCCCAAATGCTAACGTGGGCTCCACGCAGCGCTTTCGCCTTTGAAATGTAGCAACAGCACTAGGACTACACTTCAAAGTCAGAGACAATCTATCGACTAAATGAATAGTCGATGCAAAATGCATCGACTATTCGATTAGTCAGTTAGTCGTTATTTAACATCCCTAGTTCCTCACCCAAACCCTTTGACATTTTAAGGAGAAGGCTTATGAAAGCAGACAACAAGCAGCAATGCTGTTTTGTTGCTGTTTGGTTAGAAAAGGGAGGTTTTAGTTTTAGAGCTGCTTATGATCTAGCAAAGAGATTGATTTTTGGCAAAGAGATGCTGTGTTTGCAGAGTATACAAGCATGGGTACTTTTACCTAGACATGAATTCTATTGATTTTCTTTTTAGACACTGAATGATCTATACTACCCCGATGTCACACTAGAATAAAAAAAGGGAGAAAAGGGAAACAATTTCCCATCATATAATATTTGCAATGACCAGTTGGGCTGTTTGCATAACAATCTCCCTCTATATATAAAAAAGTTTTTCCTGCCAAGCAACAGAATGACATCATCACGTCAGCAGCATCAAGAGGCTCTCTCAGCGAAGCGAAAGCAGCCAGATTGGCGGCAGCGGTGGGGTGGGGGGGGAAGAGCGAACATAATGAGCAGAGGGCGCAGCCACCTAGTATTTTTAAATAGAATCTTTCACTGAGGTCCTTAGAGTGACACCAGAGACCAGTCTGGCCCAAAGTATTTATGGATCTACAAGCAATTTTTCATACTAATTTAGCATTGTGATTAGAAGCCTACAGTTTTTTTCCACAACCTCCAAAAGAATAATGTTTTTAGATTTAGATTAATATTTATACTGTACAGCATTTTTAGTTTTCACTACATGAAATTATCATTAGTTTTGATTAATACATTTGAGATTTATAATTAGAAAGGAAAAAAAGGCATTTTCTTTCTCTAAAAGGTCAAAATTGAGCCCCCTCCAGGGGGGGAAAAAAAGGACAAGAAAGAGGCTGGATTCACTTGTTTTCTGATTTAATGTCATGAATTTCCACTATTTACAGTTCATAATGGGTTTCATCTCTTGACTGTTTGAATGTCTTTGTAGACACTCTGCTAGACTTCCATCTATGGAAATACGGACTCAGATAAGAATTTTAATTTATACGGGATATGAATTTGATAGGCTTGGACTCCAGCTCTAACTACTAAGAAAATAACAAAATTCACATTGGTTTCCATTGGTAGGGGATCAAGCCTCCATGAGATATTATGCCACCTCACTAACACCAACACATAATTTAAAATAATCTGCCTTAACTACCTTGGGCTAGCTATACGTTTTGCTGTGCCCTGTGGGAATTATCCTGTGCAAACCCCCACCTCCTCTCCACTTGCAATTTAGTCTACAAATCATTCTTTTTCCTTACGGCCTGTTGTAGATGTAAAAACAGGAATGTTCCCAATTCCCCATCCCGTCTCCGAGGACAAGACCTATGCACTTTGAAATACTGAGTACATTTCCCTTGTATCTAATTCTCTAGTTCCTTTGTCATGCAGTTAATATCCTGCACTTAGAGACGGAGGAGGACAAATGCAGATACGTGTCTTATTCAATGTGCTATTTTTTTGTTCTCTCAAGAAGACAGCTTTAACTTAATTAGACAGTTAATTAATCACTTGTTCCACTTCTCTAGACCCTATTCAAATAACAGCAAACATATTCCACATGTATATTACCTTTAATATGCCCATTACATTGAAGACATCTTTATTCATTTTGATTCTTTATAAAAATCTTTACAGCAATTTTGTCTTTTCAGAAATATTAACCCCAAGCAAAAATAGAATTTTCAGAGTGGAAAGAAAAAAAAATTCATGAGGGAACATTTATTAAGTTACAAAAGAGATCTGAGTTGGAAAACAACAACTCAGCAGGAGATGAGAAACCAAGGCTGCCCCTGTAATGTTCTAATATAGATCTGAACTGTGAAGCAGAGCCTGGGCAAGTGGGAAAGAAGGGAAAATGTTGTAATGCACCAACATAGGCCTGATTGTTCAGTGACCGCTGAAGTGAATGGGAATCTTTTTATTGACTTCACTGGACTTTGATTGGGCTGATGAAGCAGAACAGAGCAGGAGAAGAAGAGATCAACATAGTAATTCAGAAGATTAGGTCTGAACCAGAGAATTGAGCTCAGATCCTCACTTCAACAGCTCTTCCTTCAAATTTATTTGCTTTCATCTTTTATTTCATTTCCTTTCTAATTGGGGGAAGTGCATTCGTTCTGCGTCTGTGCTTTCTGCTTACTTTTAACACTGCAACAATGTAGAATTCCCAGCTACTCTGTTAGAGCTAATAGGAGCCAAATGATTTCCTCCTGCCAGTTGTTTTGGCTTGCGTATGGCAAAACCCTTGATGCTGTAATTAAGGGGTTATTTTACTAAACTCTTCTGTTTTGTCTTCCAGGGTTTGGCATGACCACCCCAGCCACCGTTGGAGGGAAAATTTTTCTGATATTTTATGGCCTTATAGGATGTGCAGGGACCATTTTATTCTTTAACCTGTTCCTGGAGCGCTTGATCACAGTCATAGCCTACATCATGAAATCCTGCCATGAAAGACAGCTGAGGAGAAAAGGGGTCCTCCCTCATGACAGCCGGCGGGGCTCAGGGAACTCTGAGGTGGACAGCTTAGCAGGGTGGAAACCATCTGTGTACTACGTCATGCTCATTTTATGTGTCGCATCACTCATCATTTCCTGTTGTGCCTCTGCAATGTACACACCTATCGAAGGGTGGAGTTACTTTGACTCACTTTACTTTTGTTTCGTGGCCTTCAGTACTATTGGTTTTGGTGACCTGGTTAGTAGCCAAAATGCCAAGTATGAGAGCCAAGGCCTGTACCGATTTGGCAATTTTGTCTTCATACTCATGGGGGTTTGCTGCATCTATTCCTTATTTAATGTGATCTCAATTGTTATCAAACAGTCCATAAACTGGGTATTAAAGAAGATGGATTGCCGGTGCTGCCCCAGATGCCAAAGAAAATTGTTTAGGTCACGGCGGAATGTTGTGATGCCGGGGAATGTGCGGAGCCGGCGAAACATCTCCATTGAGACTGATGGTGTCAATGAGAGTGACACCGACGGACGCCGGTTGTCTGGCGAGATGATCTCTATGAAAGACTTCTTAGCCTCCAATAAAGTCTCACTGGCCATCATGCAGAAACAGCTGTCAGAAACTGCCAATGGCTACCCCAGGCAGTTGAACTCTAGTTCTAAACATAATGGATTCTCTGGCGGGGTAGGAGCCCTGGCAATTATGAATAACAGGCTGGCAGAGACAAGCGTGGATAGGTAAAAAAAAGTCAAAACAATGGAAAATGCATCAACAAGTATAGAAATAACTAGCCAATGAATGTCATCAGAGAGGCAGAGCTAAATGAAAAGGACACCTTCTGTGAGAAGATCTCTCAGTTTTTGGCAAGGAACTGTCAGTTAATATCTATTGTTTTTTGCACTACTCAGCTCTCTACCTTCTTTTCCCCCCTTCCATTTGGACCCTGGTCACTGAAGGAGAATTTTCAAACTAAATATAAGGTAGCTCCAACACCAATTTTCTATGGGCCTCCCCTCCCCTCCCCCCGTGTATTTACATTATGGTTAGTTTCAGGAATAAAGAATTGATGGCTTGGGAGAAATCACCTTCCATAATATTGGAATGAAATTCTGCATTGAGCTTATTTTTAGTTCAGAATTGATATTGGGGTTTCTGTTTGCTTTTGTTCCAATCCTTTTAGACCTGGTTTCTGAATGTAGCTTGTCTGAAACCAAAAGAGGAACCATTATAAGCCTTTCTCTGCACCATCTATATTTTTGCACTCCTAATTTAAGTGAGTAAAAAGCAAACTATTTTTACTAAATCTGTCTTCTCAAAACAAATTCCTGTTCTGAAACAACTATGTCAGTAAAGTAAAAATTTGTTGTCCAGTACAGCAGTATAAATTTGGAGTAATTTCATCAGTGTCAACAGAATTATTCTGCTGTTACACTAGTGTAACTGAGAACAGAAGTTGGTCTTAAGAATGTAACTTAGTCTTCCCCTGAGAGGACATTGTCAAAAATGATAAAGTGAAAATTAGACCTACTTTTGCTTTCTTATGTGCGTTTGCAAAGTACATTTAATATTTTCTAAGTTAACTTTTCCTCTAAAAACTGAATCAATTAAATTTTCTTTAAAAAAATTAAATATGGATAGACAGATCTCATGAGCAATCCTACAATAACAAACAAGGACTGCTTCTAAAAATGTGTGTACAGTGCCCCATACTGATTGCAGTTAATGAGCACTGATGTACCGTGTAAGAATATTTACACAATGAACAGATTTCATTGCAGAAACAGATTACAACGTCAGCATTACAAGACATTATTCCAAGTACCCATTAGCACAAGAAATGTAAGAAGTGATGAAAAACACTTTTGAGTGTTCTTTTTTAACATTTGAGTTGGTATATTATTCCACCAGCTCTGGCCTTTGGTGATGATAATGATAGGGTCTTGATTAAGAAAATGGAAAATGTATAACTCATCATTTTGCTAAATAAAAGGATCTCAGTGCTGATTATGAACTGGCTGAAGACCTAAATGAGAACTGTTTTAATGGTCAGAAAAACATGGAAACAGGAAATTAGATAAGTTAATGGAGGTAGCGTGGCATTTTGCATTAGGTGACAGTAAAAATAAGGGATTAAATTCAAAGGATATTGCTAAGTAAAAATTCTAGGTCATATTCTTGCTTCCTTTACACTTATGCTATTAAAGTAAGTGAGGATATGTGGAAGTAAATGTGAAGAATTTGGTGACATGGGTCCTTTTTTAGTGTCTATTGAAGTCAGGGGATTTGGATAGAGAGAGTTAAACAAAGTCTTACTTGTGTTACCCATAATACTGTTTAGATTATCACAATTTAAAGACATTTTAAATATCTAATATAATTTTCATATTTATGCAGATTCTTTTTTCATTTCATTTACGTGGATCATGGTGGACTGGCCTCATTTGTGTTAGGATTCCCTTTCTGCCTTGCTAGTTGCTCTTGTGTCTGAGTTCATAACACTTCAGGAGAATATTTACACACACTAAATATATACTGCATTTAAAAATATGTTGACATCTCATGAGGGTTTTACAATTCAGCACTTTAAAAAAAATGTTGGTTGGCCCTAAGATACTGCACATTTGCACTGCCTATTTAACAATTAAATTGCAAAGAATAGTAAGCTGTTCATAGGATTCGACAGCTAAAGTCCTGATCCAAAGCCAAATCCTGCTCATCTTGCTTACACATTTAGTAGCTCTGTTTGAAGACAGTAAGCCTTCTGATCTCACTGAGTTTTTTTACAGCTGGCATTTCCATTGACTTCAATGGGATCACTCTTTATTTGTGCAAACATGAGATCAGAATCAGGCCAGAATATATAGGCAAACAGTTTATTATTTTTTGAATGCCATTATTCTATCTGATGGTCAGTGTTATATAAACATAGAGGAAGGCAAGGTCTCTGCGGGTATGTCTACACTACCCCGCTAGTTCGAACTAGCGGGGTAGTGTAGACATACCCTGCCTCATGAAGCAAACATTCTAACTGCAACACAAACAAGATAATTTAGATAGAATGAGGTATTTTAAATTAGAAAAGAAATAGCTTCTGTTTATAGACATACATGTCTTAGACAGCAGTGGGAAAGGAAACAGAAAAAGAACATGGGAGTTGCATAGTAGAGGAGACTGGTAAAGTATTATAATCTGTGGAGTTGGCTAACAGTATGGCAATGGTTATTTAGCTCATAGAATAATGGTGCATCCCAGTAGCAGACCACTAACCTGGGCAATGGATTGTTTCCAGTGTTCCTCAAGTGTGTGACAATTATTGTGTTTTTCTTTAGCTAAGGAATCTTATTCTTGATGCTAAGCTCCTGTTATTCACTGTCAAAAAAGAACATTTACCATCATTAAAAAATAATGAGAAAATATAATGGTCATTAAAGCAAGGCACTAACAACACAGAAGAAGGTCTATACTGGTCCGATCAATGGTCCATCAAACCCAGTGTTTCTCAACCAGTGGTACAAGTACCCTTAGGGGTACTCAAGAGAAGTCTGGGGGGGTACGTCAACACAACTGAAATTTGGAGAAAACTGAATTTTTGTTTTAAGTTTTACAGCACTTTATTCTTTTTGTACTTTTACACACAAACATTTCATCGCCTGCCCAGCTACGATAAAGTTGTTTAAACAAATGAGTTGCAATGGTAGAAAAAAAATGTGTGTATCTGAAAACTGTAGGTACTGGGGGTACCTATATATGTAAGTACCCCCAGTACCCAGAGAAGAGCAACAAGAATGATTAAAGGTCTAGAGAACATGACCTATAAAGGAAGACTTAACGAACTGGGTTTGTTTAGTTTAGAAAAGAGAAGACTGAGGGGGGACATGATAGCAGTTTTCAGGTATCTAAAAGGGTGTCATGAGGAGAGAGAACACTTGTTCATCTTGGCCTCTGAGGATAGAACAAGAAGCAATGGGCTTAAACTGCAGCAAGGGACGTTTAGGTTGGACATTAGGAAAAAGGTCCTAACTGTCATGGTAGTCAAACACTGGACTAAATTGCCCAGGGAGGTTGTGGAATCTCCATCTCTGGAGATATTTAAGAGTAAGTTAGATAAATGTCTATCAGGGATGGTCTAGACAGTATTTGGTCCTTCCAGTCCTAGTGTTCTATGATTCCATTGTATTTATTTATTCATTTATTTATTTATTTTTTAAAAGGGGTACTTTATAAAAAAAAAAAGTTGAGAAACACTGATCTAGCCCAGTATCCTGTTTTCTAACAGTGGCCAGTGCCAGGTGCTCTGAGGGGAAAAACAGAACAGGCAGTCATCGAGTGATTTATCCCTGGTTGACAACTCCCAGTTTCTGGCTAAGGATACACAGAGCATAGTTTAGCATCCCTGACCATCTTGGCCAATAGCTATTGATGGACCTGTTCTCCATGAAGTTACCTAATTATTTTTTGAACCCTGCAATAGTTTGGGCCTTCACATCATCCACTGACAATAAATTCCACAGGTTGACCATATTGTGTGAAGAACTTCTATTGTTTCTTTTAACACTTCTGCCTAATAATTTCATTGGGTGAGCCCTGGTTCTTGTGTTATGTGGAGGGGCAAATAATACTTTTTCTCCACACCATTCATGATTTTATAGATTGCTATCATATCTGTTCTTAGTCATCTTTTTGCCAAGGTGAAAAACCTCAGTCTTTTAAATCTTTCCTCGTATGGAAGCTATTTCATATCCTTAATTATTTTTCTTGCCTTGCTCTGTACTTTTTCCAGTTCTAACCTTTTTTTGAGACGGGGCAAACAGAACTGCATGCAGTATTCAAGATGTGGGCATATCGAGTTTATGCAGTGGCATTATTACATTTTCTGTCTCATTATCTGACCTTTTCCTAATGGTTCCTAACAATTTGTTAGCTTATTAGACTGCTACTGCACATTGAGTGGATGTTTTCAGAGAACTATTTACAAGATCTCTTTCTTGAGTAGTAACAGCTAATTTAGATCCTGTCATTTTGTAGGTATAACTAGGATTATGTTTCCCAATGCTCATCAGTTTTCATTTATCGACACTGAATTTCATGTGCAATTGTGTTGCCTAATGACCCACTCTTTCAAGATCCTTTTGTAACTGTTTGCAGTCTGCTATCTTGAGCAGTTTTGTATCATCTGCAAATTTGCAACCACACCGTTTAACCTTTTCCCAGATCATTAATGAATATGTTGAACAACTCTGGTCCCAGTACAGTTCTCTATTTACCTTGCTCCATTTTTGCCATTTTTTCCTACTGTTTGTTTCCTGTCTTTTAAACAGTTTCTGATCCATGAAAGGGCCTTCCCTCATATCCTATGACTGCTGCTTACTTTGCTTAAGGGCTTTTGGAGAGAGGCCTTGTCAAAGGCTTTCTGAAAATAGAAGAATACTGTATTATATCCTTGAAATATCTTTGTCCACATATTTGCTGCCCTAGCATGGAATTGTAATACATTGATGAATCATGGTTTCCCTTTATAAAAACTATGCTGACTGTTCCCCCAACCAGTCATTGGAATGGGAACACGAGAACAAATTTCAAGTACCTAAAAGGTTGTTCAAAGGAGGAGGGAGATAAATTATTCTCCTTAGCCTCTGAGAATAGGACAACAAACAACGGGCATAAGTCTCGGCAAGGGAGGTTTAGGTTGGACAGTAGGAAAAACTTCCTAACTGTCAGGGTGGTGGTTAAATATTGGAATAAATTGCCTATAGGGGTTGTGGAATCTCCATCATTGGAGATTTTTAAGAGTAGGTTATTCCTGAATGATCTATTTGGTATTTGGTCCTGCCTTGAGTGAGGGGACTAGACTCTCAAGGTACTGTCCCGTTTCAATATTCTATGATTCAGTCTAGAGTTAGAAATAGAGTAGAACAGTTCTGCATAAACTTTTCCATACACTGTAGCTCTGCCATTATATACCAATCCTGAATTTCACTTTCCTGTGCTATCTCAGGCAGGGGCTTCTTATGAGCAGTTGCAATTAATTTTATAGTGGTTATGATCTGATCACATGTCCCCTGTGTATTTAGATAAGACTATCACAGCCATTTTTATCTAGTAACCCCAGTCCAGATTAGAATCCAGATCTCAGAGATGAAGGACTAGGGCCTTTACTATGTGTTCCACTTCATGCTGGTGTAGCATGCTGTTTCCTAACCTTTAGGAGACTTGCTGAACAATGGTTGTTGGAATGTCTGATTCTAAGAAGAGAAGGATTGTTAGAGAAAACATCTATGAACAGATGAAATTCTGGGAATTGAAAAAAGCTCAGGCCCCATTTCAGTGATACTGGAATAATTGTTACACAATACCCTGGGACTGAGACATCCTCAGCTCAAACAAGGCATATTCACATTTCACCATGGTAATAGTGAGGGCTTAGAATTGCTTGCAAACATTAGCATCAATGTGCCAAAGCCTGTATCTTAGCATAGAGGTGCCAAATGCCTCTCTTTCGAGCCAAATAGTTTCTAGGCTACTAGAGAGTATTTTGAGGTAAATGCCATTTTAAAATAGCAATGGGAAGATAAATGGACACACTCAGGTTAATAACCATGGCTGTGATTTTCAAAGCTACATAGCAGATTTAGATACCTTATTCCTTTTAATTTTAATGGGAATTGGGCACGTAAACAGTTGAGGGTATGTCTACACTGTGGGCTAAAGTCAAGTTAAGATATGCAACTTCAGCTACCTTAATTGCGTTGCTGAAATCGAAGTACCTTAATTTGGCTTTTGGCGTTGTCTACATTTCAGGAGTTGAAGGAAGAACACTCTCCTTTCAACTTCCCTTACTCCTCATTAAATGATGGTTACTGACTAAGTCAGACTAAGAAGCCTGTTATTTCAAAATAACGCTACTGTGTAGACCTTACTTAGCTTTGGATGTCTCAGCCCATAGGTCAAAATTCAGCTCTCATTTACATTTGTGCTTCTCCATTGCTGCAGTGGATTTGCACTGAGAAGAACAGGATTTGGATCATGTATATATATTTTGTAATAGATGTGCTATTTAAGAGAACCTTGGAAAAATGAGGTGTTGGTCCTGCAGTTGTCAGGTCTTGAGACCATATGTAGCATGACTGAAGGCAATGAATTACACAGTGAACTGACATTATTCCAAAATAACATAGTCTGCATCCACACAACAAGCAGTTATTTCAACATAATGTCAACATAATGTTGAGCTGAAGGACTTCTTACTTTGACTTCTAAAACCCTCAATGTACGAGGAGTAAGGGAAGTTGGAGGAAGAGTGCTCTTTTTCAGACTACCTGCTGTGTAGATAGCTCCAAAAGCTGAAATAAGCTATTTCGACTTAAGCTATGCAATTGATGTAGCTTAAGTTGTGTAGCTTATTTTGGCCTTGGTCCTACTGTATAGACGTGCCAAAAGAGATTTAACTCTTATTTACATTTAATTGTTATTCTGGTAGTTTAGTTTTTGCAGTTCACTCAGGTTGGGGAGTGAAAATAATACTAGCTAATGTCTGGTTTTTCATACTTTGGCTCTTGAACTCTAGCATAGTGCTGGGATGTAAAGGTTAGACACACTGAACACCAAAAACAAACAACAACAACAAAAATTACACTGGAATTAACCAAATAATAGTTCTTTGACATTTTTCAATTGATCATAGGTTTTATAAAACTTTGTGGCCTGGATCTTCTGGCATCAGTAGGTAGCAGTGAAGTTCAGCTGGTTTACACCATTTGAGGATTTCACTCTATTTTTACAAAGGGTGGGGATTTGAATTTTCAAAGGCATCTAACTCCTACTTAAGTCAATTAGTTGCCCAAGTCTCCTTGACTTTCAGTGGGAGTTGGATCACTAATTGTCCTAGGCACATTGAAAAATTGCAGCAAAATTTATATTTTAAGTCTAAATTGACCT